AAGAGGCCTCCAAGAGGCCCCCCAAGAGCGCCCCGGGAGACCAAAATGGCCCCATTCCCTTCGTAAAACGTACATTTTTAGGATATCAGCTCCCTTGGCTGTCGGAGCGGTCCGAAAGCCCCACGAGGCGCCCTAGGATAGCCCGAAGACAGCCCAGGAAGGCCTCCCGGGACGCTCCTCGGGCGGCCCCCGGGCCTCCCAGTCCGCCAAAGAAGGCTCCAAGAGCGCCGAGAGAAGCCCAGGATCGCTTCAAGACCGCCAAAGATCGCTTCCAGAAGGGACAAGAGGCCATCAAACCGCCCCAAGAGGCCTCCAAGAGGCCCCCCAAGAGCGCCCCGGGAAACCAAAATGGCCCCATTCCCTTCGTAAAACGTACATTTTTAGGATATCTCATCCCTTGGCTGTCCGAGTTGTCAGACAGCCCCAGGAGGCGCCCAAGGACGCCCCAGGACGCCTGAGGACAGCGCTAAGAGGGCCTAGGAGGGCTTCCTGGGACGCTCCTCGGGCGGCCCCCGGGCCTCCCAGTCAGCCCAAGATGGCCCAAGAGACTTCCCGGTCGCCCCGAGAGGGCCCCCGGAGCGCTCCGATACGGCCCAACATGGCCTCCAGAAGGGCCACGAGGCCGTCACCTTCCCCCAAAAACCCAGGAAGCATTTGAGGGCCCCAGATCGATGAATACCGAAAGGAAATGAATTAATGATTTCTGCGTTTCCGCATTTCCCTTCTATACGATTCCGAGGCTTGCGCAGGGCCTCCAAGGGAGTCCCTGGACGCAGGAAGCGACCAAAATGAGATTACATGAGTTGGCCGATCAAGCCTAGCTAGATCTTGAGCGCGCGCGAAGCGCGCGCGATGTTTTTTTTAATTTTTTTTTTTGTTTTTGTTTTTCTTTTTTTTTTTTTTCTCTTCTCTCTCTCTCTCTATATATATATATATATTATCTATATATATATATAATGGATAGGGGGTCCCGGGCACCCCAAAGTGCACTGATCTATCTTCTGGCCGTTTCGGGCTCGGCGGGGGGCGCCAAACAACGTCAAAGGGGGCAAGAGGGCGCCAAGATGGCCCAAGAACGTTTTAAGAGAGCCCAAGACCGCACAAGAGCGTTTCAGAATTGGTCCAACATGGCTTAAAGACAGCCCGAGAGTGCTTCAAGACGGCCAAGATGCTCTCAAAAGGACTCCCACGAGGCACTCAGGAGGCGAACAAAGTGTTATTTTCGATGGTTTTTGAAGGTTTTTTGTGTTCTCGCTGTTTCGTGTTTCCGACTGTCCAAGACAGCCCACGAGGGCCCAGAAATCAGCTCAACGCGGCCCAAGAGACACCCAAAAAGGGCGCCACGACGGCGCAAGAGAGCCCCAAGACGGCCCAAGCGCGCCCCCCAAGACGGCCCACGAGGCGCTCAAGATCGCCCAAGAGGGCCCCAAGACGGCCCCAAGAGGGGCTCAAGAGGGGGAACACGAACCGACAATTCGAGCCTTCCGCCCCAAGAGGCCTCCAGGAGGCCCCAAGAGGCCCCCAACAGAGCCCAAGAGGCCTCCCAGAGGCCCCCTAGGTGCCCCACGAGGCCCCAGAGGCCCCAAAGAGGCCGCAACAGAGGCCCCAAGAGCACCCCAAACGGCCTCCAAAACATACCGGTGCATAGCAAAGGACCGCCTAGCCTAACGTGGCATCGCAGCGTTGCATGACATGGCATGGCACGGCACAGCACGACATAGCTAACCGTGTCAATGCATATCACAGTATGGTTCAGCATACCATCGTATTGCATTCCATAGCAGTGTTTAGCTGAGCTTCACACTGCAAGTCACGACGTAACATTGCCCAGCATGGCATGGCATCTCATGACGCACCGTGGCGTACTATGGCATTCCAATGCGCATACATTACTCGAACAGCACCGTACTGCTCTGCGCAAGAGTAAACCGTGACCATACCAGTATCACACCCCCGTTGTTGCTCTTACTGTCGTCCTGTTTATTTTAGCCTAGCAGTTCATTGCATTGCATTGAATAGCACGGTATGCCGTGTCTTTGCATACCGTGTAACGCGGTAGCATCGTTCTTCATAGGAGACATCGCATGATATGGCTCAGCGTATCATCCAACATATTACCATAGCATTTCACAGCACAGCATGGCATGGCATGCAATGCGCACTGTACGGTATATCATGTTATTGCATTGCATACTGCATAGTGGCATTGCGCTGTATAGCGTAGCATGGCATATCATGGCGTTCCATAGCATAGTGCAACATGGCGCTGTAGCGCTGCATTTTTCCTGGCCCATAGCTTGGCGACAGATCACCGGTCGACAGGTCGATGAGAGCGGAGGAGGAGGAATAATAAGGAAGGGGCAGAAGGAAACATATGATGTTGACCTGCATTTGCATCTAAGGGGTAAATCGACCAGCAGGTCCCAGGCCACGCCAGTGGGGATAGGGATCGGTTAAACGATGCCCAGTTTGCCTCCTCCTGCTGCTCCTCGAGCCGACGGTCGGGGAGCGCGTTGTCGGCGCGATGTTCGATGAATGTTGATGTGCATTGGTTTGTTCGATGATTTTCGCTTTCTCGCGTCCTCGAGCTTCCAATGTTCGAAGAAGGTCGAAGACGCCCTCAAGACCGCCCCAAGACCGCCGAAGACGCCCCAAAAGAGCGCCAAGACGGCTCCAGAGAACCTGCAAATTGCACACGAGGAGCCCCAGACGGCCCAAGAGGCCCCAGGATAGGCCCAAAATGGACCACAGAGCGGGAGCGGGAGGCCCCAGGGCGCTCGAAGACGGCCCAGATGGCCCGGGCCTCCCCTTTCTGTCCCTCCTTCCTTCCCACCCCCTCCTCCATTACCTCCTCTGTCCTCTTCTTCCCCTCACCCCTCAGTTTTCGTGCTTCTCCCTCCTCTCCTGGGACGGCGCCGCCAGAGCGCCAGACAGGCCCCGCCTGAGCGAGCGGGGCATCGCTATACCCTATCATTTCACAAGTTGCTTTGCCCGTCACACCCCTCAAGGGCGGCCCCGGCAGAGCGAGAGGGGTGTTGCTATAGCATATACAGTCCCTGTTACGTTTTGCTCTTCCCACCGCACCCGAAGTAGTTCCGTTAGAGCGCACGGGATGTGGTTATACCATAGTTTTCCTCAGGTTTCGTGCTCTTCCCTCCCCTCCTGGGCAAGCCCCGCCAGAGCGCCAGGGAAACCCCCGTTAGAGAGAGCAGGACATCCCTACACCATACTCTTTCACGCGGCTTTTGCTCCTCCCACCCTTGCAAGGCGGACCCGCCCGAGCGAGCGGGGTGTGGCTATACCATACAATAGTTTAGGTTTCGTGCCCCTCCCCCACCTCCTGAAAGGCGTCGCCAGAGCGCGAAGAAGGTACCGCCAGAGGCCCCGTCAGAGCTCCACGCAACCCCATACATGGGACTTGCCAGGCAAATCATTGAGCATCCCCCGTGACCCCGAGCCTTCTGTTCCCACGGGTGCGATTATCGCCGGCATGAGGTTTGGCGTCCAGCACAAAGAAGTTTCCCCACTCCCGTGGACGGACTCGACAGCAACTGATTGCAGAGAAGGGCACAGATGACGAGGGCATCTGCGCGCGCCCTCTGCAAATATCCGACAGCTGAACGACCGCTGTGAACGAGAAGCTTGGAGCACAAGGAAGAGGAAAATAACAACGCGCTCCCACGCGCGCGCAACGAGGCCCCGAGCCAACCCCAACATCAGGAACCTTCAGATGTCTGCGTGATCGGGCATGGGGAGATTGAGCAGATGTGCGAAATCATTGAATGTTGCGACGGGGCAGAGCGGAAATGAAAGTGGAGAAACAAACGCAGTTCGATAAACCAAACGAAGGCGGCAGCGAGATTGTGAGGTGCGCGGGAACGTGGCGCCCCGCGTTCAGACTACGCGTTTTTTGCGTCTATGACATGGACCCGAGAACGCTGGAACTCGTCGTTGTGGCCACAGCGGGGTTTACAACGGCACCCGTGGCTCATCTGCGACTAGAACCTAAGCGCGCGCGTAGCGCGCGCGTGGTTCTAGTATATATATATATATATATATATATATATATATAGATAGGGCTGGCCTCAGGCCAGTGCCGCCGATCCGGAGGGGTTCCGGAAGTGGAGTTTTCTATACCCCTCTGCCCCCGGGTACCGAAAAACGTCGGAAATGACGTCGGAAATATCCCCGTGTACCGAACAACGTCGGAAATGACTCCGGAAATAACGTGCCCCCCCCCCCCCCCTGCAGAGCGAAACTTGAGCGAGCTCAAGTCCACGCTCTCAGAAACTCACACGCCGGATCGGCGGATATGTACATAGGTGCACAATCATCCTCCTCGGGCGCCTGCCCCCAGGGCCCCGGCCCGATGGCGGGCACGCCTCTCTGGCCTCGGGCGCGAACAAGAAGCCATGGGGTGATTTCTTGTGCGCTGACCAGACGAGTGGTCCGTGTCTTGTGCGCTGACCAGACGAGTGGTCCGTGCCCTCCTGCTCCTGGTCCTCACGCACTTAGGCACCGTTTCGCACAGCGTTCCACCACGCCTCGGCCGGCTGGTCACACGAATGCTCGTGGCCCTTCTCCTCATCCTGGTCTTTCCCCTCACGGACCGCCTCGCGAAGCGCACCACCACCACGCCTCGGCCTGGGGTGTGCTTCGTGGCTTGCACGCCCGTCTACAGCGCACCAGAGGGCGTGCGCGGTTCGGTCGGCTCGGCTGCGCTGCACTCGGTTGCCTCCGGTGGATTCGTTCTGGTCGGTCTCAGTTTCGGCTTCGTGGCCGATTCGGGCGGTTTTCGTCTGCACTGTCGCCGTAGACGGCCTGCACCACGACCCCGTTCTCCAAAGCGCGCGCTGGCGGGCCCAGGTGTTGGGCCCTCGGGTCGCCCCCGGTCCTGGGGACCACGGCCACCCCGACCTTCCGTCTGGACGGCGACAGCGGCGGCGACAGTGGCCACCACGAAGGCGGCGGCATCTCTCTGCGCCTTCCCCCCCGCGGAGGCGGCCGAGCGGGGCGCCTCCCCGCGCGCGGGCTACGCGGATCGGCGGAGGCCGTCCCTCTCCTCTTCCTCCTCCTCCTCCTTCTCCTCCCTCCACCTCCCTCTTTTCCTGCTCCTCCTCCTCCTGCTCCTCCTCCCCCCTCCACCTCCTCTCTCTCTCCTCCCTTGACGCGCTTGGGTTCTAGCTGCAGGCCCATCTTCGTCGATTCTTCGAGGTCCTGTCATCTGTCCCTGCGATGATTCGCGGATGTTGTCCATACCCGTCCGCTGTTGTGATGCTGCTCTGGCATGCATTAGAAAGTCAGCGTGCACGTTGTCCCAATTACAGTATCAAATCAGAGGGCGGTTCCGCAGGGATGCGGCTACTCCGCAGGGATGCGGCTACTACTATGCGGCTAAATTGGGAAGGCCCTGCTGCCTGGCCGCCTTTCCCACTCGGTCCGAGACTTTAAGGGTAGGTCTTTGGGATATGTTATAGTATCGGGAGCATAGCTCGCGCGCGCCGTTGCCTTTGGCCCAAGGCACGCGCGCCCTATTTGCCCGGACACCGCGAGTGTTCGCTATGTGCTGGAAAGATCATTACATCGATCTTATCCTATCTTATCCGTCCACCCCTCATACTGTACTTCACAGCAGAGCGATGGACGCTATTTGCCATCCGATGTCTATCATGGAATCGGATGCTATTTGAGTTACCAGGCTCACTTTCGACTTGGTAGCGGAGCTGGCCGCACTCTCGTGTGGTCAGCTCTTGCTCTTCTTAGCCTCATATTCTTCGGCACGATCTTCGTGACCACCTACCACCCTGCGCCACCACTCCCAGTATGTTTACGAGGATCTATCCAAGAGCAAGAAGCAACACGAGAGGTACGACGTCTAGACGACCAGATTGGTACCATATACGCTTCATCATTGCGTTACCACCAACCGCTCGGCAACGAGCTAACAGCGCAATACTTGAAGCAGGGGCGGGGAGACCGGCCAGACAGAGCGCCTAGAAGACTCGACAAGGCGCTACCCCAGCGCGGCAACGCGCATCATAACCGTCCTTCTCTACACATTCTCGGGCTAGTTGTTTTCGCTATTATATGGTTCGCGCTGGGGGCAGCAATCGGACACATGCGTCGTGGAGAAAACAGCACCGATGGGCAAACGCATGGCCCATATTGGGACCCTCAAGGTAATGTACCTTTTCGTGAGTACATCTACGAGGTCAACGCATGGCTCAACGTTACAAGCGGACGTATGACGCCACAGGCCCAAGCGGCCGCAATACAACGCGGCCTAGGTGGCCTAGCGAGGACACTCGCCATGAGGGTACCGCCTGACATTATAAACTATGGTGCTGACATCGATGGGGTCCACACCGACCCAGTGACTTACATCATGTTCCTCCTAAGCATGAAGTTCGAACGCTTGGAAGATGAGCGACGGCTCACTTCCGGCACTCAACTCATCGACTTCCACGTGCCTCACGGAGAACGAATCGATGTCACCCTTGCCCGATTCGAAATGGCCCGACTTGAGGCACAGTCGGTGGGATTCGACCTTCCCAACTTCCAACTGCTAACCACTATCCTATTCCGCGCCTTAGGCGTCGGCAACCAGCGAGCCATGCAACTCTTACAGCCACTCAATCACCAAATGCCCCGAACACAACAACAGTATGATGAGTTGCTGGAGAGGATGCGTTCGATAGGCCACCTATCTGAACGGTCTCCTGGTAACATAGGATCTGTGTTTGGAAGGGGAAGGGGATCTGGTAGTGGAAATTTCTACACTACCTTGACTACTGAAGCCCAGCCTGGAAACGGGCCCTCAAGTATATGGGCCGACGACCCTGGAGAATCCACTGCTTTATTCGCAGGAGATCGATCGCAACCAAGCTGGGCAACCAGCCCTCCTTCTAGAGAACCACAACCACACCGTTCTTTATGGGGGGAATCAAACCCCCTAACCGACGGTGTATCCACCTACTTGGGAGACGAGGATTTCGACTCCGGCACCGATACAGACACTATATCATCAGATGGTGTTGAAGCTTTAGATTGGTCAGATATCATGAATATGGATAACGACAATCAGCGTGCTGAACATTTGTTCTGGTTACTACAACAGGCTAAACGAAGGTGGAGGAGGTTCACACGAAAACCAGTGCGTCGTGTTAGAAGGAGGATACGGAGAAGTTTTAAGGGAAAAGGTAAAGGTAAGCGAGGTCGTCGGAGGTTGAACGGACGAGGCATCGCGGCATTTCTCCAGAGGCTCTCAGATGAACAACATGATGAGATATTCTTTGGGGGAAAGGGCCGTGGTAAAGGCCGTAGAGAGACCTCAGGAAAAGGCAAAGGTAGGCGGGGAAACCCGCGAGGTAGAGACGGCCAGGTTCTTAAATGCCATGAATGTGGTAGTACCGATCATCTTGTGCGAGATTGTCCAGTGAAGGGAAATGGAAAGGGCAGGTCGACCGAAGTCCATTTTGGCTCAAGTGAACCATTCATTGAGTATCTGAGCCTCCAGGACTTTGAGGCTATGGAGCAGATATTTTTCACTTGGGTTGTTGGCATGGACAACGTCGACGAGCTCGAGGCGTATGGTCATGGATTGTACGCGTACTACCTCGAGTACGTTCGCAGGTTCGTTGAGGGCAACAACGAGCTCACTCCCGTGGAACACGGGACGCTGGGAAATTACCCTTTATCCTTCTTCGACTGGATGTTCGGGAACCCAGGCAACATCATGGCCTACGAGAGTAGCGACGAGGACACCACTATAGAGGCTTCGCCTTCCGAGGTTCAACGACACCTCGAACCTCCGCCCGAAATCCCGCCTGGAAACAGGCCTTCTTTGATGGGAGAATATCCCCAGACCGCTGAAGACTTAATCGAAATGGAGTCTCAGGCATTTGTTCAGGCCTTCATTGCAGGCGAACCAGATACTCCGTTTATACCTCCTGGTTCGCTTGCTCCAGGCGAATATGGACCACGCACTCTTTTGCAGACCCTCATGAGGATGCATGAAATACTTATTACTGGTTATCCCGAGAGTCAAGGACATATCGAAGCTGACATTATGATAATGCAGGATACTGACGCTCGTGGTAGCTCAGAGCTGTTGTTGGCAGCTCTGACTCTCATTGACAGCGTGCGTCCTCAGGACGTGCAGAGACACCTGATATACTCCCGTGGTAGATGGCGTAATGCTCTAGAAATGGCTATTGCTATGCGCGGTCATGATCTTCCTCCGCCAGGACGGGGTCTCCAGGCGGTGGGGACGTGGCCAAACCATGCGGCCATGCGCAACATTGCCGGGCAGCCTGTGCTCGGCAACGAGCCCGAGCCGACAACAGCGCCTCCTACCCCGGGGCAACCGAGCGACGCGCAGACGCCGGCTATGCAGGGAGACCTGCCTGTACCAGATACGCCAATGGCCATCATCATCGGTAGTTCGACATCAGAAGAAGTAGAAGGCGATGGTTGCGGGTTAGATGAGGATGACGTCACCATCCTCATGATGGACGTGAATGGTGAGGAAGAGGTTGACTTCGATCCTGACGAGTCTGAATCATCATCACCATCGGCACAAGCGCCATTTGCGCCGAGCTCCATCCAGCAGGGAGACCTGCCTCCATCGGACGATCCATCTGGGATCGCACAGGAGCCTCCTCAGGCACCTCCACCGGGTGCCGCTCCTGCTGCTTCGGCAGCTTCTTCTGATGAGAACACCAGAAGGTCTCGTTCCCATACGCGCGTCAGAGAAGAGCCACATCCACAGGCTCGACTTCCTCGTGAGTGGAGGCAGGCTGGCCCCAAAGAACACGCTCTCAGGAGAGGGGGCCAGCTACTTCCATATAACGATCCAAGACGCCGAAAAGGGGAACACTCGGCCTTCGGCAAGGGCAACCCTGCCTATAGGGATAGTGAGGGCAAGGCCATCCGCGGAGGTTATCAGCTTGCAACAAATATCCGCCGCCCTGAAATTCAAGAAGAGCGGACTCAGCTGCGAGACATTATCGCGGCTCGCAAGCAGTATAGGCCTCACGCAGCTTGCGGGCCTTGTTCCGAGCCGTTCCAGAACCACAGGCCAGGATGCCCCGTTGGCAACAACGAAGGCCTGAGCCCCAACCGGGGCAAAACCCCTCACAAAGATGGTCATCCGCTACTTATCCCGATGACACCAGACGAGATCGCCGCAGTGAATCGTCGTCTCGGGATCTTGAGCCACTTGGATCTGAAAGAAGAAGAGAAGCCTACTCCGGTTCCAAGGGGACTGGTAGCCACGACCCAGGAAGAGAAAGACGCGCTCTTCAGTCTTCCTAGTATGCGAGGAAACTCGCCTGGCGTTTCTAGCCAGTCCCAACAACCAGAACCGACAATCAAGGATGAGAAAAAGGCTCAACGTGTGGCGGAGGACGAGGAGCGTATGCGGACAGCAGAAGAACGCACTCGCGAGGCAACTCGCAAGATGTTGGAGGATTCCAGCAAGATCTACATGAAGGGGGCTACGAAGCCCCCACTCCCACTAACTTCGAAGGCTAAGAGTGAACCCCCGACACCTAAGCCGTCCTCGGGGCCGAAACCGAAGGTGAGCTCTCAGGACCCTGGGCCGGACGTGCAGATGGAGGTGCCTCGAACTGAAACTCCGAGGCCGCCGATTGGCGCAACTCCTACACAAGCGTCTGAGCCCAAGCAGCAACCTCAGGACCCTGTGGAGGAACGAAGACGCCCGCCTAGTCGCAGCAGCTCCATTGCGAAAAGGGCGGCAGCTTTCGAGCGCAGTGGGTATGCCCCTGCGCCAGCTTCGCCTGTGGCGGCCCGTTCCAGGAAGTCCGATGAAGGTGCTATGTCGAGGGGTACCTGGGTGCCGAAGATCAGGGGCAGCGCCAGTCGCGCATCGCCGCGGGGAAACCCGCCAGGCGCTGCCGCCGCAGCTTCATCCTCTTCAGGAGCCGCAGCCTCTGCAGCGACAGAGGCTCGTATGCGGGGAAACCCGCCAGTGGATCAGCTGCACCGCCCAGGTGACACGTCCTTCTCTAGTGGGACTCCGAATGTGAT